GGATGAAGACAGGAGTATTTCTAACCTGAAACATAAAAAAATTACCTTACTATGTTTAACAACAAGATTATCTACAATTAAATGAGATAAATAAACTAGATTAGATCCAAACCTGTGGTGTTACAGCTGTGTAGTAGTTCACCATAGTGATGGCTGCTTCCTCTGTACCTAACTCTAGAAATGCCTAAAAAAAAAAAAATGAAAGTATGATAACATCAAATCACCAATCTCTGAGAAAGAGGGACAGTTCTGGACAGAAATGCACCCACCTGGTTTTTCCCCTTCAACATCAGTATGTTGGTAACCTTCCCAAAAGGCAGGCCCAGAGCGATGACCTCCGTCTCTGTTACTTCATTGGGAAGTTTTCGAATGTGAAGCACTCTGGAGGGAGGGGACTCATCCAGGCGCTGCTTCTTACTGTCACTACCGTTTGCTGAACATGGATTCACAAGCAAAACAATTCAACTGGATTAATTCTGGCTTAATGCTGGCTTACATATGCAGGGTTTTGAAGACTCTGACCAAACTCACCTGCCATTGAGCTGGGGCTGCTACTGTACATGCTGAGCTCATCTGAGCCTCTCTGGAGACATAAACAGATCAAACATTTATTCTCACAATTCAATACAAGAGAAACAAAGTAGATAGTCCAATGTGGATGTATGGAAAGTATTATGTTATGAATAAGTAATGAAGTTTACCTTCACACCAACTGCAACATCACTGCAAAATAGACAGGAGTGAAAAGGTTATTGAACAGAAGGCAATGAAAAGTACTTCTGCAGTCTTATGCATTTTTTGAGTACTACTGTACAATAAAATATGGGGACCCAGGTTAAAATCCTGGCTGAGTCAGGAAGAAGCGCCTGACCTAAAAACTGCCAAGTCTGTGAGCAAGTTGTAATAACTCGCAATGTCTCACTACCTTTACTCTACAGTATGTGTTAGATGACTACTAAGGCATAGAAAAGGTTTTAATGTTTATGAAGATCTATTTAATGCTAAAGAGAATATCATTAAGTGAACCTTTTGCTATCTGTTGGATTTATTCGTTTTCTACTCGACTGTTTTTGTACTAAAAATACACCAAATCAGATTTTGTAGTTTACACCTAAAGAAAACATGAAATCTGTGTTGGCCAAGAAAAAATGACTTCTGCTTTCTCTTAACAGAAGCGCAAATATGCCAACATTTCTAGAAGAGTTCCTAAAAAGAAAAAGAAAAAATACTTAAACACTCTTTAAATTATTTTACAGTTTTTACCCAATGGGTTGAGTTTTATCCACTGATGTTTGAGTTGAATTGAAAACTAAACATAAAATTTTTTTTTTTTTTGTAAAAGGTCAATAAAGTTAACGAAAGAAAGGTGACTCAGCTTAGGAAAGGAGCAGCTGTATTATTTTAAATATATAACTATGACTTTAAGAAAGCAGCTTCATACTTCTGTCTGTGCTTCTGCCTCAAAGTTTTTTATTTTCTATCATGTGCTATAGTACTTTTAAGAAATTCAAGTGAAACTTCAATTGTATTCATAATTTTTTTTATTCTGTTAATGATATAGCCAGGGTAATTTTCTCAAGCTTCATTATGATCCCTTACCCTCTAAATGTTAAAAATAATTTGCCAACAGTTAAGCTACAAAAAATATAAAATCAATTTCTTGTTACTACTAATGTGAATAAAGCTGCACTAGCAAAGGACTGAGTAAAAGTAGTATTCAGTAGAATATTATATTTCAAGTGCCATGCATGCAAATTCTGCATGCCAATAATATATTTAGCATGATGGGTGGACTGTCACAGCATTCCATTTCCACACTGGTTGTGTGCATTTAAGTTGCTGAAATGCTAAAGCTCAAAAAATATACTGGAAACACTGTGATAAATGAGGAGAAAGAAAATGATAAGGAAAAACTGGTTTAATCTTAACGGATACAGTTAGCACCATATTAAGCAATTAATAGCAAATACATCTCCTCATAATGTGAAATCCTTTCAACCAGGTAATAGCAAGTCAAAAATCAACTATTTGATAGGGGAACATGTATTTAATTAAAACCAAAGTCTGGATTCTGTTTTACATTTAACCATACTGTTTCATTTGTGTCTCTGTGTTGCATTGTGATCGGCAATGTGCCTAAAGTGCACCTTAACTGATAAAAAGCTGGATATAAATTAACAACCCCTTAAAGCTGGGATATTCTAATCCTTTTCCAAAGAGCTCAAATGTGCTATAGAGTACCAAACATGACCCATGTGGGCAGCTTGAAAGATAAATAACAAGTGTAAAATAAATATTTTTTCTTAAAACCACATAAAAGGCCTGTGAAATCATGAATTTAAAAGGAAGATTTTGAATAACACTTTTGGCAACTCTTAATGCACATTAAGATATAAATTACTAGTGAATTTCTATGTAACTTCATATAGAACCTGCATACTGAAAATTAAATTAATTCAATCTACAAATAATTTTATTAACCAATTAGATAAAGTCGTTTAGTCACACAACTATACTGATACAAAATAAACAAAAAACAAAAATAGATTGAACAAAATGACTGTTTTCTTTCCAAAATAAGAGTTTTCACCACATCCTCTGCTTCGGGTAAAATAAGATCATAACAGACGACGTCAGATTCTTTATGTAAACCTCAATAATGTGAGCTAATAAAAGGTGACAACATTTCAGAGCCCAGTAGATGTTTTTCCAGCCGTGTGTATTGACAGAAACAGAGATAAAGAGGTGTTAGGTCTCAGTCATGTGCAGCAGACTGGCGTTACACAAACAAAGGACCGTTATTTCAGTCGGGATTAAGCTAGCAGCACCAACTGACAGGTGGACAGACAATTAGCATGGCTTATAACAAGCTGGTTTACTATCGGGTTCTAGCTGTACTGATAAGCAAATTTTGCAATTACGTATAATAAAAGTCGTTCGCTTCTATTATTATAGATTAAAATGCAGCTAATAACCGGTATAAATAAAATATTCAAATAAAATTGTAAATATATATTTTTTTACTGTAGCATTAGCCTCCGATCCTAGCCTAGCTTAACATCTGGTTAAATATCACGTCATTTCATGTAACAGGAGAGTCATGAAACATCAGCAGACAGACAGGATAAATCCCACATTGCCCGTCTGGTTCTTACTGGCTGTGTCACATTTTTCGCTAGAGGCAGAACCAAGGATTTACACATTAGCTAGCATGTAGCATACTTTAAACAAAGCCGGAGCCCAAGCAGCAACCTCCGGCTGCCGCACAGACAACTGTGGAGGGTGCAGCCAGAGGCATTGGTTCATAATATTTACCCGTCCATTGCGTTTCTTTGTCCTCCTTAGTCTGTCTGAAATTGCCAGCACACTTCGACATAGGCAGTGCGAGCAAAATGGGCGTGCTTCTTCTTCTCGAGACAAACAGTAACCTCAGGCGCTGCAACGCCACCTTCCGATGGGGAGTAACTCTCAGAGGTACAGTCACCAAAAATCATGTAAATGCATGTTTTGATAGGCTCGTTTGTCAAAACAAATGTACCATTTGGAAAAAAAAAAGAGTCTATCATATCTTTAACTTAATAAAGCCCAGTTTTTGTTTTATTAGTTATTTATTTATCCTATGTCATTGTAATCATGGGTTGATCAAGATAGGCTTGAAAACATCTATATTATTATTTTATAATTTGATTTACTTCGTCAATTGATTTACTGCAATTAAGCTCCTATTTAACTTATTTTTTGTTTGTTGGTTGTTTTAAACCATGCAAGAGTACTTTTTAGGATGTTTGCATGAGGTTAATATTTACAGATATAACAAGTCTTAGGATGACCTTGACCAAAAGGAAGAGGCCTTTACTTCAAATCCAGATAGCTGTTTCCATGCAGCAAAAGCCACAAGGGCATAATGATCGTGAATTTTAGACACATGCAGTGAGGTATGATAAAACAAAAAGCATAGTGTTGGGCCATTGTCCTCTTTATTACATTTGGAAGAAGGGGGATGTATTTGGTAATATGCATCATGATTTTTTTTTTTGCTGTGTGGAGAAAAGGACTCACTGAAGTGTGTGTAGGGAAGGGGGTCAACAGATTTAATTCGGTCACTCCAGTTATGTCAGAAAGGAGCCAAAAACTCCAGCAAACTATATGAGGTTCTTCTGGAAGGATCCTCAATATGTTTGACCTATACCACTCTGTCTAAAGGTAATGCTATCCAAATAACATGCTGAATATGTCACCTTCTGACAATATAGAAAGCAAATCGATCTAATTTTAGACATCCTGACAAATCTTAAAATGTCAAAATATCTGTTTTCTTATAACCAGATTACAAAGAAAAAAAGACATGTCAGCATATTTATCTGATTACAGCTGTATAGCATGTGGCCTATGCCTACAGATGCATGCAGCTTTCACTATTAAAGACAACCATTCATCCATCTTTTCCAGCTTAGGGTCACAATTTGGCCAATGCCTTTCTCTGGCAGTTTATGGGTGAGAAGCCGGCTACACCCTGGACAGTTTGTTTGTCTGTTGCAGGGCAACACAGAGACTCACAACCATGTACACACACACTTACACCTAATTATAATTTAGAGATGACAATTAACTTAACAGTCATGTTTTGGATTGTGGGAGGAAGCCGGAGTACCCGGATAGAACCCAGGTATGCACAGGGGGAACATGCAAACTCCAGGGCTGGAATCAAACCTGGAACATTCTACAAATAATCAAAGCAGTTGCATTTAAGGTTCAATTTAGACATAGAATTTCAGAAGGAAAAAAAGAAATATTAGTTTTAAAATGCCTCTGAAGTTTTGCTTCTATTACTGGGTTGTATTTCCTACACAGTCAAGAGGCTTCAATCAATCTGTCTTTTTATCTTGACTCTACCTTGGCATCACAGCATTATCATATTTTAGTTAAGTTTCTCTTTTACATCAGACACATACTCACACACCCCTTCAGCGTATTAAAAATATCATAGCAAACATTACAGATGGTTGGCTGCAACAATATTTTATTCCAATCCATGAGGACAGTAGGGGGGATTATTCACAAAATGAATATACACTATAATTAATAGTATATTATACAATTAAACATTTTCAATTAATATCTTGATGAGCAGATAATCACAAAATTTGTTTATTAAACATAAATCAAATTAGTGAAATTACTGACAAAAGCAATTCATAGCAATGCATTTAAAAAAAGATTTTACTTCACTCCACCTATTTTGTCTAACAAAATTACTTTGGAACCACTTGAATTTACTGAGGCAGCTTTGTTCAGCTGTTCTCTCCAGCTAAAACTTAAAAACACCCAATCTTAATGTTTAATTGGTCGGCTGTATTTACAACCCATCTAGTAGACCGGACTAATACCCCTCTGGGGTACGTGGGGTGTTGTCCTGCTGACCATCGTGATGCAGTCTATAATGGGACAGACACTAAGGCAAAGGGTGCAGCCTGTGCAGCTGTCTGTCACAACTGGAAGGTGGGTCTCTGGGTCAAACTTTATAGCCTGGGTAGATGTACAGAAATCATGTTAGAGATGTGCTAACAAATAAAAGAATGGATAAAAAACAAAATTTTAATTAGTTATTTATATATAATTATAATACTAAAAGTCTGTTGCCCCATTGAATTTTGCTAGGAGGACTACCTGGTATCCCGAGTCGTTGCAGGTCATGTAACATTTCCCACAGTTGATGCACATATCTTCATCTATTAGTGCCTGGACCTAGAAGGAGAAATATGGATTGCCTCAAATATTGTCTGTTATATGACTCCCTAGTTTGAGTCTTTACTGAATTTTTATCATTTGCCTCACTTGAAGGTATAATGGAGGATTTTTGCGAAATTTTGAAATGACCTGCCCTCTCCACTTTTAAAAAAATTTGCACATGCACAACCCTTTACCCGCTCCCGAAAGGGAACGCCTAATAAACACACGTGAGAGTGTCTAGAACCCATTTCTCCTCATGCACGCTATGTTTAAAAGTTGCTGTTTTCATCACTCATACAAGCTTACTTTCCAAAAGAATATTTGCAGTGTTTCCACTGTCAAACTCACCATCAGTAAGTGAAAATGGGAATGCACATAGGGCGGTCTTACATAAACATATCACCAGAATAGTTAAAATTTAGGAGGACCTTTGACTTAGATGATCCAACCGTTAAAAGAAAATCCTCCACTATACCTTTAAGGTATATTAATCTGCAATGAAAAAAAAAATCACCACTTTAAATGCAGGTTGCTTACCTGCTCCATGTTGTTCAGTTCCCCATAAGCTCCGATGTACCGCAGAGCTCTAGCTATAACATCCTAGAGAAAGAATAAACTATTTGTATTCAAATAAAGAAGAATTGATCTTTCTGAGCCAAACTTGTAAGATTCTCTGGTACCTTAACAGCAGGAACGGGCTTTTGGGGCTGGTTGACACGGCTGACGTTTATCTCTGGTGCATCAATTTCACCAGCTTCTCTGAGTTGTTTTTTATACTTTGCTATGGCTTCAGTCCTCTGCTGCAGGTATGGACCAAAGCTAGGCAGACTCTACAAACAAAAATAAAAAATAAACAGAATCAATGAAAAATGAGTTGAAAGAACTTGTTTTTTTTCTAATTCTAATGCTACACCATTTGAATTAAACAACTAAAGATCAGTTATTTTTAGATATTCCACACAAAATAAATTGAAATGCAGAAAATGTCACTTTACCTTACCAACCAGGTCTCCCAGTTTGAGAACTGGTTTTCCTCTCTGATGTTTTTCAGTTGGAGGAGACTGACCATCCCAATCCTTTAGCTCCAGGCTTTTCAGGTACAACAAGGTTTTCAGACCTAAACACACACTTATGTTTCACATAATGCTGGGATAAAAGAATCAAAAGGCTGTAAAATGTTGGTTTACATACCAACACAGTAATCCTCAATCAGCGTGAAGTCCTGGTTCTGAATTGCACTACACACCTGGTAAACAGACATAATAGTAAGGATATTTGTGTATTAAAATCACAAATTACTTGCGGCGTGGATGTGTGACGGTTTGATGGCAACACAGAAAATTTAAGCTTTCACAGGCCTGATTGGCAGTTCTAAGAGTTCCATCATTGCACTTTACCCTGATAAGTGAAACATGCGGATTATGTGAGAAAAATTGAGATTTCCATATGCTTGCATTTACACTCACTATACTTCCTACAACTACTGCATGCCAGGATAATATAAACAAACTGCTGAAAGCACTGTTTGGAAAAAAGAAAAGAATGCTATTGCACATCCATCAGCCAGTATAATATGTTATTTTTTATGTGAAAGAAAATCTGGAGTAAAAAATAGCTATATGACATTAGAAGAAACACAAATCAGAGTAATTGAATTATTACTTGTAATACAGAGGCTCCAGCGTGCAGAAACTGGAGTCCACTCTCTGCTGAGTCAATCCCCCCGGTAGCCAGGATTGGAAAACCAGGGATTGCCTTAGCGATGGCAGACACAGCTTTAAGAGCAATGGGTCTGATTGCGTTACCTGCACACAAAAGTTTTCAGAAACACAAATACTCCATAAAGAGGTAGTTATTTTATACAGAGTGTTATGTGGTATTAAAGCAAAACCAGACAAAATGGTTTTGTCTTATACTTATATGCACTATTCTGATGAAGATTCTCAGTCATCCAGGTCATAGTCATTCTACATTCAACTTATATGCACTAAGACATTAGAATACTACTGTATATATCTAATGTTAAAAAAAAAAACAATAAAAAAAAACAATAGAATTGTTTCTTTGATACCACGTTTCACTATTTTCTATTTAGTATATGTACGTAGTTAAATATCAAATACATCCCTAAAATCCTTACAGTTCAAGCTTTAGTTAACAATATTCTGACAAAAATGGGTTAATTGATACCCTTGTAAACCTCACCAAATGTTTTGTGATGTAAAACTGTGCTTTAGGTCCTATCAAAGGCTTATCTCTTTTGTAGCTTGAATTACAATTAGTTGTGTCACATGGTTCTGTATTGTTTTGCAGAAGGTGTACTGGGTATTTACCAGACACTCCTCCATATGTGGTACGTTTGTTTGCACCAACACTTGGCCAGGGAGAGCCGTCAGCCTTCAGACCCATCAAACCTGACACGGTGTTGGTGGCCGTCACTCCATCTGCTCCACCTACAAAACCATAACATGTTCAAAAATGAAATCCACTTCTATTGGTTGTCGTTTTTTTTTTAATACATTGATGTTCTTAAAGTTAAGCTTTTGGAAGAGGAGGAACTAAGTTAAAAAAATTGGGAGAAAACATTCACCTTCGTGTGCAGCTTCGGCGATGTCAACAATATTGGTGACATTTGGTGTAAGTTTGGCAAAGAAAGGAATGGAAACTGCTGCACGCACCCATCGACATATGTTTCGCACCAACACTGGGTCCTGACAACACAAACACCCACAATATATACAATATTAAAGATGTCATGAGAGTCTCGTCTAAGGCTTGTGCTCTGAAGATCTAAACAATAATGATTTTTAGGTATGACCTGTACCTGTCCACAGGCGAGTCCCATGCCCCTTTCTCCCATCCCATGAGGACATGACAAGTTAAGCTCCAATGCATCTGCTCCAGACTCCTAAACATGCAAATATTTTCATCAATTTCTTCTACTAACTATGCCACAATCACAACAAAACTCATCGCAATCTGATGGGATAAAATCAATAGTGTGGCCTGGTTCACCTCAGCCATCTTGGCTATCTCTGTCCAGTCTTCCTTGTTGTAGCTGCACATGATGCTGGAGATAACAATCTGATGGAAAGACATGCAAATGTGTTGCTTAAAATACACATCATAACCAAATATGTTTTTTCGGCATTTTGCATAATTTATGTTTGCTATACTTGATTTTACAGACACAACACACACAAATATCCACAAGTCTTACTTTACATCAATTTAGCTTATTTAAGTGTTAATTAGCCGTGTCTGGATATCTGAAAATGAAGTGCTGGCTGAAAATAAGTTATTTAAATACAATCGGAACTGTCCTAATTTGATGATGGTCTCAGAAAATACATTCAATTAAATTCAAATAAGTTTATATAGCACCAATTCACAACACATGTCATCTCAAGGCACTTAGATCATACAGTCAAATTGATTTAACGTTTTCTATCTAAGGAAAATCAGTTGATTGCATCGACTCATTGATTAAATGCAATCCCTCACACATCAGAGATCAAACATGGTTTATGCTTTACATTGTCAGGGAAGTCCTTCTTCAGCTCAGTGACGGACTGACACCAGTACGCTGCTGTTTTCTCACTGATGAGTTCGATGTTGAGGAAGGAACCCATGCCAGGTCCAAACACATGACCAGAGGTGGTACCTCGCACAATACGAGGAGACACGTTGGTCACCAAGTCCTGCAGGAACACATTTCAGTTTAAGCTTAGCTCATTCTACAAAGCTCCCATTACCTCCTGCACCTACAGAGCAAGTGAAAAATGTATACACATTTTACATGATTGGGATTAATGCTCCATTAATCCATTTTTTCTCAGGGAGAAATGATGAAAAAACAGCAACCATTCTGAATAAACAAATCAAAACAAATAGGAAATTATAACATGATGCAGATTATCTGCTTCACTGCAATGCCATCGGAGCTAAATAGAGTAAAGAAACCTGAGGATGACGTCCCAGATTCTTTAACTTAATCTCAAATCAACAACTAGTGAAAATGCAGGGTGGGTGCTCCAATTAAAGAGTCTAAGCCCACATCAGAACTGATTAAAGAATAGATAAAAGATAGAATTGTTTGGAACAACACTGGCCTCAAATCTTACAGGCTGTGATTCAATTTCAGGTACAAATTAGATTAATCTCTTGCGGGAAATTTGTTTCTTGCAGTGTATTCGTTTACAGAAGAGAGAAAAATAAGACTGTAAGTACAATGATGCAGAATAAGATAATAAGACAGAATAAAATAAGTATAATTAGTAAAATTACAACCCACACAGTAAAATGACACCCTTCCCATATAAACAATGTAAAGATATATACTAATATATAGTATAAACTAATATTCTAATCAAATATCCTAATCTTAAGTGTGAATTAAAGAGCATTTGCAGTAAAGATAAACGTGTGCTCCCCCATTCTTATTGTAAACCATTTTTGTTTCTACAGGCATTTTAATTGAAATATTTAATTAAATTAATATATTTAATGAAATGGCTAAAACCAAAACTCATGTTCATGATGAGTGAGTGAGCTTATGACCTGACCTGAAGTTGAGTTAAGTAAAATAGTTTCTCTTCATTTGCTTACACTAACTCTCACTTTGTTTCTGTGTCTTATACCTTATCCAATCCAAATGTTTTGGTCAGAGCAAAGCCCCATCCTTGCTCAAAGGCTCGTCTGATCATGGCCGTGCTGGTGGTGGGCGGAGCAGAGGCCAGACCGAAGGGGTTGGGAAACTTTAGACCACAAACCTCCACACTGATGTCCACCTGATCTATTGCACTGTAGAACAAAGGTAGCTTTGGGACAGAGTCCACGGTATGTCCATACAGAGACTAGAAAAAGAACAGACAAGATGTTTTTTTTTTTAGAACATTAACATTAAAGTAGCATGCACAATTTCAATGCTGTTGTTCATGCTGTTCTGTGATAACAGGTTTGACTGTCAAAAAAAATTAAGCAATTCCCTGATGCAAATAAAAGAGGTTGTCTATATTGTCACATGTGAACACAGTTTATCAAAATATGTTCAGGACAACAGCGTCACCAATTTCAATGTTTCAGGACAGATTTACCTGTATGTATCTGTGAATGTGCCATGAGGCCTGTTTGCCATCATTGACTGACTCCACTGTTGTGTTTGCCAAACCAGCAACATCTCCTCCTGCAAAAACCCAGGGTTCGCTGGTCTGCATGGTTTCAGTGTTCACCTCCGGAGTGTCCCAGCGGGTCAGCTTCACAGGAGCCATGGCTTTAATCACTACATAAACACACAAAAAACAGACTGACACTGAACTGATACTTTGATATAGTGAATACACACTATCAAGTGTGTTATTGTTACAAAAGTTAAGACTATAGTTGACTTTTTAATTCCCATGTTGAAAAATGCATGATGTTTTGCAGATAGCTTACCTTGTGGGTCATTCAACATGGACCCAAAGGCACTAATGATGTAATCAGACTTTAGCCTGATAATTTGATCCTCATCTTCCAGCCAATCTCCATCCTCGGTCTGCTCTGTACGACAGAACTGCAGCCCGGCAATCCTCCCGTTCTTCATGATGACCTCACGAGGAGAGAGAAAGGGCAGGAACTCACACTTTTCTTCTTTAGCAAGCTCCATCTGACGAAGCAAAAATAACACAAGAGATCAATAAATTATATATTTGTTTTAAAAAGGTAATTCACTGCGCTTTCCTTTTTTAAAGCTGCCTCTAATCATGATCATACCTCCTCTGGAACGGCTCTGATGTTGGTGAATCCTTTTCTGAAGCAGACGAAGACCCTCTTGGCCCCGCAGCGGAGAGCTGATGTTGCGCAGTCGAATGCAGTGTCACCGGCCCCCAAAACAATCACCACTCCCTTTAACTCGGGGAGGGCAGAACGACACTGACACATGCCTGCACAGGGTCCCAGAAACACACCATTACGCTTCCTAATCACTGATGTATAAAACATATTATTCTTACAATGTTGTCAAAACGAATGTAATGAGAGCAACTTCCAATATATTTATTAGAGTTGGGGGATCCGATTCCATATAAATACAGGGTCAGTAAGGCCAATATTGATGCCAATACTCTTTTATATATTTGCTTGAGGTATCATGAAACTGGTGACCTTTAGGGTTTTTGTGATTTTTATTTATTATTACAATCAAGCAATGGGACATAAACAAAAAAAAAAATGGTATCGATATCATCTACATCAGGATAAATCCGCCCACCTCTAATATTTATGTGAAAGTCATACTGTGATTACAGCATCATTTCAATTAATAAAAGAAGTTGAAAATGATTTAACCTCATACCCAAAAATAAAATTTGATGCATAATGTCTAACAGGTTTCAGAAGTCAGAGCATGAGAAGAGCACAGCTGTGTGTTACCTCCGTTTAAATGCAGTTGTACTGTTAAAGGCCTCATTGGGTGTTTGGAGAAGATTGTTGTTATTGTTAATGAATGTGCTGGTTGATGATGGTAATAAAAACACATTGGAGTTTGTCATCGCGAGGAGACAAAATATAACGTGCAAAAATGTTAAAGGGGAGGGAATACTTTTCAAATGGGCTGTAAAATAAAGCACTTCCTTTGTAGTGGAAGAGAGACCTCCAAGAGAAAACTGATTCATGTGGAAAACTGTAAATGTTGCCCCGATGCCATTTTTTGGCCCCAATACCATTACCAGACAACTGGCTGTGCAGTATTGGTCAATACAGATACCATCTGTTTGAAATTGATGTGTGTGTGTATATGAAGAACTGCATACTACTTGGATGTAAAATAATTGCCATCATGGCTTTGTCAAGCTGCTGCCTACCTTTGTGAAGCAGGAAAAAGACTAATACAAAGTGAATCCAGTAGAACTTTTTATGGCCTACCTGGAATGGGTGACAATAGTTGAATAAACTTTTGGCTCTCAAAATGGTATTGGAGCCCTATTTGTCGGTACTCGCCAATACCGATACCAGGGCAACACAGAGATACCACCTGATGCTGGTATTGTTTCAACACTAAAAACTGTATTTATTTATTTGACATTGGACAATGTACATTGACCCACATTTTACATCGCTAAATTAAGCTAGTTCCATTTGTAACAGTCTATTTATGTAAGATTTAAATACCTTGTCGTAACTTGAGTGTTTGTTGAAATGCACAATTTAGAGGCTCGGTGTTTAATTTCTGATGCTGTGACTCACTTTAAATTCTGTTTAGCTACTCTTTTGAAACAGTTTTGAAAGCAACTCAAAGAGAAACTGATTTTGATTGTGCTTTTACAGATGGAGCATGCTGCTGCTGTACCTTTCTTACTGGCAGAAGCCACCATAGGCAGAAAGTCTTTTGAGGTGTAAAAGCCTTGCTCCAGTGTTAAACCCTGGAAAATCTCAGCCCTGTTAGCCTGGGGAAGACCTGGAGTAATACATGCAAACAGAAACTCACAAACCTTGAGGCCATAACATGGGTTTTAATTGATGCGAAAGAGGAGTGGGTAGAACTCACCGATTCCAATAAAGACAGCCTTAAACCCCTCCTCATTCAGGGATGAAAGACTCATTCCATTCACACCTAAACCTTTCTCACAAATCACCTGCAACACACCACAGTGAACACACAAAGCACTGTGAAAACACACTTTTATGAACACCAAAATGTCCTATTAGATAACAAGAGAAATACCTTCACTCCTAAGTCCTTCATTAAATCGATTTCAAACTGGACGACCTCATATGGAAGCCTGAATTGAGGGATTTCTGATAAGCTGGGCAGAGAAGAGCAGGAACATTTAACCGTTAGAATTTCCTTTTTTTCAAAGAGCTTTTTTTGGCATCGTCTTACACACAAACCCATTATAAAGATGGATTAGGAAAATCTGTGCAGCACCTCAGGAAACCAAGTATAACCCTTGGAGTTCTATGCTTTCTATAGCAGGGGTGGAACTAGATGGGGGGGAGGCAGAGGTGGCCATGGCCACCCCTACCATTTTTTTCGCCCTCTAATACAGACTGTGGCAGCAGTAATACTCTTAGTACATGTGAATATTAATTTTATGCAGAACAATTTTTGATAAAAGTAGGTAAATAATGAAAATGGGAAAGATGTTCGCCACAGAAATTGTCCACTACCTTTTACCTTTTATTTAGACAGCATGGATGTTTAAATATATGCCTCTATTTGTTAGCAAAAGCTGTAGTAAAGTATAGTTTGTCTTTATTTAGAAAACATAGGTGTTGTGCTCCTTCTTGTTGGAACAGTGTAGATTGAGCCTGAGGTTCTAGCGCCTATCCGCTTTCGGCCAACCCTCAGTGTACATTGGTTTTTGACTGGCCACCCCTATTAAAATGTTCTGCCTATGCCTCTGTTCTATAGACCAACAATAAATGTAACACAAACATAGGGAAGAAAGGAAGGAATGTACATTGTTTTCGACATTTGTTGATATTAAAATCTGAAAGTGTGGAGTACATTAATATTCAGCTCTCTTGTATCATTCCTCTATTTAAGTCATGGGATGGAGAACATCAGGCTAACACATGATCAATGATTATTCTTTGATCTAAGCCAATCTATGTCTACCTGCTTAAGGCTGTTATTCTGTCGGAGGGTGAACCTCATACCCAGTGTCAAGTGTTTTGCAGCTTCTTACATATTATCTATCAGGATTTGCTTTGTTTTCAGCTCCATTTTCAATTCTAACAACGACCAACTGCACCGAATTCTTTGACATGTCAGAATAAAGGGGTTTAAATACTAATGAACACCACACCTTTCAGAATCGGGTTCATAAAACAAAATGTTGGAGATAAATCTGACAGTTTCTGTAGATGGATTAGGTGTCTTGTTAAAAATTTCCATTATTTATCTAATTCACATCTGTTTTATACAGTTGTGTTTTAATGAGTGTTTAATGTTTACATCTGAAATCTTTTTATGTCTAAAGAAAGGTTTTGCAAATCCGCCTAGTCTATAAATGAAGTACTCTGGATTACAGTCAACTTTCTTGTGATTTCAGTTAAATAACATAATATGAACAATCGCTGTCCTATCAACAAATAAATATCCTATAAGTAGGTCATGTTAAGATACCTCAGTCCTCCGATGTACTTCTGCTTTTCAAATATAGTGATTTTATCATATCCCAGACGGGCCAGGAAAGAAGCACAACTTAGTGATGCTGGTCCGCAGCCAATCAGAGCAATAGGGACATGGTAGGACTCTGGCATCTCATTGGCTGGTGGGAGTTCAGGATTTCTGACTTGTGGAATCCCCATTTTACTGAACACCTGTAAAGAGAAAACAAAGACAGTTTAGATTGACACGCTAGGAACCTTTTATTGGCAATATTTGTTCTTATTTATTAATTTAGATTAAAATCATTCTGCCATTTGGAGCACTTTGGGCTGTTGATTTACACAATAAAGAGAAAAACACCAATAAAGAAAATTTGAATATTGAAATGCTGTTGACCTGTAAGCAGCTGCTTATCATAGCTTTTGATTGTTAGTGTGTTTCTTCCTTTGTACCTCGGTAGCAAACTGCTGCAATCCTCCGATGTTAATGGGTCCTTCTTCAGAAGCGTACAGGTTGCAGCCCCCCACACACAGCTCTGATGTGGGACAAACCATCCCACAGGTCAGACCCAGAGGGTTATCGGAGAGGATTGCCCGTGCTGCTCCATAGTAGTTCTGTTACACAAACACATTTACTTTCCTTGTCCTCATATGATGACAGAACAATCAGATGATGAGGGAATCATTGATCTGTATTGTTATGCTACCTTGTTGGATATACTCGTAATAAATGACTTGATGTCCAGATTTGTTGGGCAGCTCTTCTGACAAGGAGCATCGGCACATTTTAGGCACCTAAAAATAGTCAAGTTAAATGGACGACACATGTCAGAACATATAGAGCTAATGATCTGAAATAACTAACACTAACATGCATTTACATCTGGATTTTTTTAGGTAATATGCACATTTTAAAATATATAACAAATACACAACCTAACAATGCATTTCCAACATTCCACTGATCCATCTTTAGCTTTCATAAGTATTTTTAACTGTAAAAAAGGACAAACTAAACATATTTCAAGAAATACAACAGTCTAGATTAAAGATAAAAAATGCCTAACCCTTGGAAAGAAAACAGGACTTTTTTCGTAGTTTCTAAAGTTCCATTGAATATTTTAAAAAGCAAAAAATATATATAAATATACATAAATCTTACCTAGAAAATCTATAAAATACAATCATTATAGAAAAAAGAACAAATGCTGTTAAAAATAATGTAAATGTATCATATCAGTACTGTAGATTCACTGAAAACTGAAAACGCTAACAATGAAAAAGCTCTCCAGTTCATGTCCAGCATGTAAAACATTTTCTTTGATTTTGTTCAGCCTGTCATAACAAAGCAACGCACTTTTAGTCCTATGAGTTACATGTGATCCCGCAGAACTTTCTTTCTGTATAAAATTTCAAATTATTTGTTTTGTTTTGTATAAAAGTGATATGTTTTAATGTATTATTATTATTATTATGATCTATGCTAATGGGGTTTTGTTATAAAAAGTCTGTGCTATGGAAATTTTTCTTCTACATGATCAAAGGGATAGAGATACTGCTAAAACCAGGCCTTAATATAGTTTTTTTTATTTCTGTTAAAACAAACTGTTATCAAATATAAAGACCAAACTAGATCCTGGTGTATGTAGTAATAATATTTGCGTCTAGGATGCCTTTGTTTGGGGGAAAACAATATTATTTCTTCTTTTTACCGCAGAGCTTCCCGGAGAGCTCCTCTCTCACTCAGCGTTGTGTGCTTGATGTCATCAAAGTTGTTCTCCAACTTCATGCAAGACTGAAAACAGGTCAAGAAAATGAGTAATCGCCACCATCCTCCCCGTGCCTGTCGGTCATCTGTGTGTTTCTTACGTCACAGTTCCTTTCAAGGTTTCTCTTCCAATGCTTCTTCTCTCTCTTCTTGCTTGCAGTGGAAATGATCTGAGCATGGCTCTTCACTCTGGGATTCAGGGCCAGGATGCTCTGAAGAACATGAAAATCATTAAACAGATCTAAAGGAGTTTGTTTTTTCATAGGTTTTAATCTTTGCATATATGATTGTCCGCAAAAAGTGTTTTTTTTCCTTTTGTATGATGGATATAACTTTAGGAATTAAGGAATTTAATATTCTTAGCGGCCAAAATAAAATGCCACTGTAAAGGTGAAAACAACTCCTACTGTTTGAATAATGGTGTTCGTTTGTTTTTTGATGATTCAAAATAGACTTTTAAACCTACACAGCAATTCAATAACATTCGAGTTACTGAATGAATCCCAGTCAGTTATTACTTCTTTTTTATCTGTTTGGCAAATAAAATATTAGAAAAGTATTGATCCTAAGGTAAAAACGCTTCTGATGTTATCTATACGTAAAGCACACAGAGTTCTACTGGGAAAAAAAAAGAAGAAAAAAAAAACTACAGAAACAGGAACATTCTTGGAAGAGAGGCTCGTTGAATGAAAAGTTCAACTTGATAAGATAACAGTGAGCTGCAAGGTCTCTGTGCCAAAGGAAAGCCACCTGTTGTTCCATATATGTTTATGAATAGAAAATAACACATTATTTACCTGTTGATAAAATAATCAGCCTTCTTCCCAGACACACTGCCAATATATTGAGTTTGCTTTGCTTTTCTTTTTTCATTCTAGCATTCGAAGTAACCAACTGCAGGATTCACTCAGTCGCCAAAGCTGTGGCCTGAAAGGATTTGAATTCAAACCTTTTCTTTTAATCATCACCATAGAACCTTTTCAGGAAATTTCCTGCTTAGATTTTATGTAAATGCAGATTTGTATGGTTAACTGTTGTTTCTCCATCTAACATACTTTCTCTGTTCTCCATTCTTCCATCACGTGCTGTTTCTCTACAGTTTGTAGATTAATCACATGGCTTGTTTCGAAAGTCTGTTCCCTGTAGTTAGAACGCCCTGTAGTTTGTGGCAGTTAAACATTACCGGCAAGATATAATAAAACAGTAGTAAACTTTTTTTAAAGTTTACCTAAAACTGCCTGAATCAAGAACAAAATGAAAGAAAATGCCACTGCTACGTACAGTAGTGCTGGAAAGTTTACATACCATCCCATAACACCAAATTGAGAAAAGTAATGATAAATAGAAATTTACTAATTTGTATTGATTTTGAATTTTTGGTTAACAGAAAATTTTCAATAAACCGCATTTTCTTAAATTCTTCACATGCATAGTTATCATTTTTTTTGTATTATTACTGTTTCACCATAATCACCGGTTTCATATGTGAATACTGATGGGGAAATGCAGGTTTATGCAAAATTCTTACAGTTCAAGACCAAAACTAAATAAAACAGAAATCCTTTTTTTCTATAAGTATGAACCAAGATTTGTTATCCATAAAAAAAAGAAAAAAACCTAATTTTACATTCATTTTCCTGTGATAAAATTTTAACGTTTTTAGTGAGAAGGCATTCTGAGGAACCATTAATGAGTTGCAGCATTGTTGTTTTCACTGTACAAGGTAATCCTTTCAATCCATGGAATTAAAGGACTAAAAAGCCTGAAAATCGAACATACATCAATAACGAATGTGCCATTATTTCAGGAACACAAACTGAGAAAAAGATTGTCTGAAATAATTTCTAAAGGAGATTAGAGCTTATCCTGGTCTGTTAGATGCAGAATATCCTTTGTAGTGGTCTATAAGCAACAATGGAGACTAGTAAGCAAATTTGTATTTGAAGTTGATTTATATATATATATATATATATATATATATATATATATATATATATATATATATATATATATATATATATAAATATATAACTGCAGGTTTTAGGATGTAAATGTAAGAGGAAAAAAGCAGATCAATGACCTGGTTTACTTTTTAATTAAAAACTTTAATTGCTTTAAAAAATATATATATTTTAGCTTTGAGTTTCCATTTTATCATACAACATCCTGCCTTAATTGCCTTCTCTACCATACCATATTTCGTCATATTTACCACACTGTCAGATGGTCTCTCTTTATGGAAACCCCTAGGTTTTCTTCAGAAACTTTTTCTGAAATATCAATTTGTTATCCCAAAATTTGAGTTTTCCTCTAATGCAGTCCTTTTGTAGATGTGGAATTCTGCTTGAAGTCACTGCGATACTCAAAATTAATCCACTCTTTTTATTCTATTTAACAGATTGCTAAATTCAGAACTATTTCTAAACACGACCTTTACAGAAAAAATGTGAAGCAAGTGGTCTCACAGCATTATGCTGCTGCAATCGTTCTTCAAAGTACATATGGTGGTTTTTGAGTCAAACATATCTGATGGAAATGTTATTATAAATGTTCAAGTTTGGTTTAATGGGACTGTAACACCTCTACAAGGTTTTGGTTGATTTTCAGCTAGCCTTAACCCTTACTGCAGAGATTATATGTAGAGAATACAGGAGACTTGTCAAATGAAGAAAACAACCAGAATGTGTTTAACCAATCAGTGTTTCTTGAAAGTCACAAAAGCAAAAAATCCTGAATGACATTATTTACTGTCATTTGCAATGACTTCAGACCAAACCAGGTTGGTGCCATAACAGGAGCTTGAGCTGTTTGGTCATCATTTTATTATTTTCTATCTTGTCTACTTTTGCACATTTTTTATGGATTAACAAAATAGCTCTGCATGATCTTCAGTTAGTCCAACTTCAGAATGAAGTAAAAATATTTTGTTTTAATTTTAAGCATCATCATCTATTCATTTGTCTTCCTAAATGCTTTTTTTTTGCTTTGGTTGTATTTTAGTATATATGTTTGCTTTGTTAAGCATCTTCCTTGACAAATTTTAACCTCTTTTCATGAGTTTTGGAGACATTTTCAGTTTTTGATATCCTCAATACCTTAAATTTTCTCCAAATATTACAAATTTTCTCTTATCTATGGAGTCTATTTACGTCAGTGATTATACAGTCTCCTCCTTAGTGATACTGATACCTTTGTACCATGTGATAATTTTGATCTTTGTTAACTCTAAGCAAACTTTCACTTTGGATAAACAATACAGATAAGCAGGAAACATGTAGAAGTTAAAATTATCGGACTATAGATACAAACTTGAAGATACTTAAAAAGTCAGTCTCTTAAAAGTCAGTTTCTACTTAAGAACTGAACCAAAAGATTTCTAAAAAATTCATGATTCATGCAGCCAGATTATTGCAGGTTCTCTTCCTCTAATTTTTTTTCCATTTAAATTGCACAGACAAATGTTGCATTATATGTACGAATAGTTTAGATGACTTATTGTTTCAGCAGGTGTTAAAAAAGCTTTTAGAGCCATTACTTTCTAAAGAAAGGAATCAGTAATTATGCACTCAGAGAAAACCCTCTGTTCCTGTAACTGTATGCAATAAATATATTTTCTAAGAGACTGTTAGTAAAAACATTGCACTGATTAATTACAGCCCAAACAAACAATGTATGTAACGTTACCTCTATGTCTGGAAGATCTTTACTCAAATTTCTGTTCATCTTCAGAATTAAAATTTATTTGCTTGATGCAGGTCTTTAGAAGATTCCAGGTTTTTCGACGTCCGAAGCACTGTCCGGGACTGTCAAGCTCACAACTAATAGTCTCTGACCGTAGATTGTATATTTCACTAAACCCCACCTTTGCCCTCCCATAAGAGAGGTTAAACAACTAGTCTGATGCCTCAGAAATGTCAGGGAGCTAAGCAGATATAGAAAAACCAACCCGTTCGGATGTTTTCGCTCTCTGAGGATCAAAGTTCAACAAAGAGCACGTTTCTGGGTGCAATGCACTTGGGCACTGGACAAGACAAACAATTAGGGCAAAATGTCAGGTTCAGGCTCCTCCTCTGAAGGGGGAGTGGAGCTTTGCCTGTACCTTTCCTGCTTTCACATACTGTACTGAAATTCCGATTTAACCCATTCCTGCTTCTCCAGCACTTCACTACCTCCATCGTCTATACTGGCTCTCTCTGTGTGTGAAGTTGAGGCCTATATTCAGCAGCCATTCAGTTGGAGGCGAGGTACACCCTGAACACATCGGACAAGAAGGGTAATTTAGAATAACCATTTAACCTAAGAGTGAGGCCATGCATGTTTGGGAAGAACATGTAAAAGCTGGGCAGAGACCCAACGACAGGATTCAGGACCTGCTTGATGCAAGACATTACAGTTAACCTTTGTGCCACAGTTTTGCCTCTCCTGTCCTTATATGGCAGAACAAAGGTATTTAGACCCATTTAAGTTTGTTCTCCATTTCTTATGGAACAACTACATACAAAATGAAAAACAATTCCAGTTTTTAGATATATCCAATAAAATTCTGAAAAAAGGATTAGATTTGTCCTCCCTTTATTAATACTCCAATCTCTCTCACTGCATTCATAGCTGCCAGTCTTTGGCGCATATCTCTACCAGGTCTGGACTTTGACTGGGTCACTTAACATAACTAGCTGCTTTAGATCAAAGCCTGCTTTGATCTAAAGCAGCTAGTTATAGTTAAAAGGCTGTTGTCCTGCAGGAAGGTAGATCTTCGCCTCAGACCCTTTGTTCAATGGATCTTCCAATCTTTTCCAAATCCTTCTCCCTGCTGATGAAAAGCATCCCCGCAGAATGATTCTGCCAATGCCATGTTTTACCCTTATGATAGTTGCGTCTCTTAATGATCCTAAGGATGGACTGAAAAGTGCTTTGAAAGACACATACAGGAGAATTCTATTTTTTAATATTTAAGATGGTAGAAGCTTTGGATTTTGGATTTAAATCTGTATTCGTGAAAAAAAGAAAGCCTTTCTAACTGTGGGACGCCAGCTTCAATATTGAATAAGTAGCAAATATATTCAGGCTAATGATGTAATTTAGTGTGTTTAAAATCTATTTTTTATCTGGAAAAAAAAGGATTCTATTACTCTTCAGCCAGTACATGTCTGCGTGTCTTTATGTCTAACATTTTTACAGGTTTTAGCTTTTCTGCAACATTCCACTTTCCTTCATGGACCCACAATAAGTTGAATGTGAAAGGCGCAACAATCAAGTGTGAATCTAACATTAAGACTACACCATTAATAAACCTTATGCCAACTTTAGAAGTAAAGTCAGATATTCCTGTCTGTGTTGACAAACGCTTAATATTTCCTTTTTTTAATCTTTTTTAGCAGATTTTTAATCTTAAAAATCAAGACTGCCTTACAGTAATGTATTCAGCCCAATAGATTGTGATATAATATAATAGATAATCTGAGATTTTGTAATATTTTCAGTTTTACACCAAATCATAAAAGCAATGACAGAGGCAGCAAAGTGAAAAGATCAAGAACAAGATAATGTTTTTTTCATGAATAGGATTTACTGAATACACTTTGAGAAAATAAAAAAACAAACTTAATATATCAGTGAAAATGGGCTTTTATATCAATATTTCTACTCATTTTTCAATTCAATCAATTATAGAATTTATTTTTTTTCTTCTCAAAGTAGTTAATGTAGTTAATTCTTGGGGCAAGTGTATTGGAGAGCTTGTTGACTTTATTCAACAAATAATTCAGAAAATGTCAACCAAGGTTTTACTGCCTAGTTAATATGGGAAATCTTTTCTAAAACTCTATATTGGATTTCTGATTCAGGCAGAAGGTTTTAACAAAATATCATTTGTGTTAAAACCTAAGATATTAACACAATATCTTTAAATTTAAGACTTGGACAATGCTTCAAGCATCACTGAGATACAGCATCGATGCAGCCGAGGCCAGCAGGGCGACAGCGGTAGCCATGGCAACACCTACACAAGAAGAAGAAGAAGTATTTTGAAATTCTTAATCAGTAACTGCTTCCTGAAAAGAAAAGGTTAGATTAGATTAATTTTATTTTTTACTTTTGCAGAGTTACAATAAAAATGTTATATTGTATGTATATTGGTATATGTTGCTTTTGACAACAATTGATTTAAGAAACCTTTATTAGTGACTACTAAGTAAAGAAACTGTTCACTGATCTGAAACTTTAAAATTTGACAAAAAAAAACAAACAAAAAAAAACAGGAGAAATATGTAGTTGGACAAGTGTTTTCTCACATCTATATCACCCACCTATGTAGTTGTTCCTCCAGGGATGCGGCGGCTCAGCTTCTTCCATTAATGACTCTTGAAACAAACAAAGAAAATCTAATCAATCAAGCAAACATGGGGCCTGCTTTTCTGGCAGGTTTATTTAAAGAGTACAATGAAAGAAACATTAGATCAACTGCAACAAATCTGGATCAGATTTTCATTAAAAAAAATTGTAAACAAAGGTTATCAGAGAATACCATCCATCCATCCATCCATCCATCCATCCATCCATCCATCCATCCATCCATCCATCCATCCATCCATCCATCCATCCATCCATCCATCCATCCATCCATCCATCCATCCATCCATCCATCCATCCATCCATCCATCCATCCATCCATCATCAGGGTCACGGTGGAGCTGTTTCCTATCTCCAGGAAGGCGGGGTACACCCTGGAAGAGGTCGCCGGTCAATTGCAGGGGAGAAACACACAACCATGCCCACACACACTCACACCTAATGTCAATTTATAGACGCAATCAAGCTAACAGTCATGTTTTTAGACTGTGGGAGGAAGTTAGAGTTTGAAATGTAAACTGCCCTTGAATGCACTTGGCTGTTCATTGCTGTAACCCTTATATTATTGCAATAATACTTCATTTTCATTTTCCTTTGGGATCAACAAAGTATTTTTGAACTAATATGAACTTATTTTACTACCCACCAATCATAATTTAATTGAAAAGATGCAAACAATTTCTACATTTGCTTGGAAAGTGAAAGCTGAAAAGCAGTAGTTTTCATTTCGTTCAAAAGACGTTGAAAACTTGATTTGCAATGTCAAATAATAGACATTGAAAAGATATAGCAAACGTTTCAACGAGACAAAAATCAGACCGACCAAACACCAATTTTCAACAAGGACTTTTGGAGTAAATTTAAGATTATGGCGGACCTAAAATCTAAACGTCTAAATGACCTCTGGTGTTTGGGGGTAGGATCAAATTGAAATCTATGTAATTGACTTTGATTATACATTTTTTTTGTTATTATCATTAGACTGTCACAAGTACAGAGCAGTGGGCTGCCATTGTCTGGGGTTAAGGGTCATGCTCAGAGAGAGTGCCAGAGTGGCAGTGCTTGCAGGACTTACCACTTGAGCTAGCCAAGTGCTGCATAAATATATAACCACATATGTGGTTAAATTGTCTACATAGCATAGTGGCCCTTCAAAATTTCCCCACTTTCCTTAATGGGCCCTTTGCATGTCCTTGGCTGATCCACTACAATTCCTTTTTACACATTAATCTTTGTATTAAAATATTCTTTCTGTTATGATTTGTGGACATTAAGATCTAAAATGAGGTGCCTTCTCCTGGTCAGACCCTGTAATTCAGTTAAAGGGTGGAGTAAAAAAATATGCATGCCCAGGAGAAGGAGGGGGTCACTCCAGTTGCTGGAAGTTGGAGGGATTTTGCTGGGAGTTGCAGGAAAGTGGGCTGCCATTCGGCTAGCATTTGATTGGGAAGGGCCATTTTAAATGACTGCTACTGTATTCATTTATTAAATAGCCTTGAAAGTACAAAGTGCAAAGTGGGATGTGAATTGCAGCTTGAAAAACAACATGAATTCAGTTTATCTTTTGTTGGCTCTGCAGCGCTGCTCTTTATCAATTAGAAGAATTAGACCATTGCTGATGTTTTAAAGTCCAGACTAGGTGCTTTTCTTAAGCTCTGTAGTCATGGCGCAGGAAGCAAAGCTAAAATACAGTGTTTTCCTTGTCTTTTGCAGACATTATTGGGGTGATGGGATGAACAAATGTAACAAATATAAACAAAACAAACAAACTGTTTAGTACCTTCTTTAGCGTTGCTCTCTATGACTTCGGTGATCAATTCCTGTGTAATGTCCAAGTCTGCTTCAGTTGCCTCTATGTCCAACATCTCCTTAAACCGATCTGTCATTTCCGACAATCCCTCATCACTAAACTGGTAGTCGCACACACACAGTGGGCTGGTGGCTTTTACTGGACAGAAGACACGACGAGGGAGGCAGAACTGCTCTGAAATGCACAAAGAACAAGGACATCCTTAAAAACACCTCACTTCACTATTAATGACTTAATACTGGATTTTTTATTCACTTGCTATTAATCTATTTTCAATGGAACCTTGTTGCACAACAAATCTCCCCTCCTTTACATTTTTCACCTATATGTAACTGAAAGATACAGAAAGGCAGTATTGGGATTCCTCTTAGTGAGTGTTCAACTCAATGCATCCATAGTTACTCACAGTTGGTCATATAAATGTGTAGGTTGCCAGCAGCTGGCAACAGTGGGGTTAAAGCAGTCAGAGTAAAGAAAGTGATAAACATATTAGGACTGCAGGATAAGGAGCACATTTTTACTTATTAGATGCTGCTGTTTTTAAACACTTTTCTTTACCATCCCCGCACCCGCTGAGCAATGATGCATGCAGGTTTGGAAGGTGAACATAAAGCAAACAATGACGACAACAAAGGGAAGCGGCTCAGGGCTTCAGGTCAGTGGTGTGAAGTTGTCTTTAAAATGGTAAATTTTGGTGCAAAATTACTTTTTTATCAATAAATGAATTGCATAACATTTAATTGAAAGAAACAACGGTTTAATTTCTGCAGAAAAGGTATCTGTAAACTATAGTAGATTTGGAACATAAAAGTCTTACAGGTTTGCCTTGTTTAAAACTTATATTTAGATTTCTTTGTGTGTGCCTTTTTAGCAAAATGCACATGGCCTAAATTCTAAGTGTGTCCTTTAGTAAAAATCAGTGGATTTTTTTTTTTATCCAAAAAGCAAAAGCATTAATAAAGAGTGAAAATTATGTGTAGCACCATAGATGCTTTTAATCTTTCCAGGTCCTATTTGAAAGGAATTAGTACACCTTGTTTTTTTTTTGTTTTTTTTATCTATATCTGCATTAAACACCTGCTTTAGGTTTTGTTAAGCAGAAAGCTTTTGCTACAGGTTTGGAGTAAGCGGCTGCAACAGTACAACGCCCCCTCTGGTAACTTGGGAAAATACTTTCTCCATATTGACCTTTTTAATATTTTTAAAAAGGTTTAAAAATCCTGCTAAAAACTAAGCATTTTACATCTGAAACTAAAATATGGACTATAAAAATGTAATATGTGTTTGTAACGATATCCATCCATTTACGTGGTCACGCTTATCCCAAGCGGGGTCGCGCGGGGTGCTGGCGCCGATCTCCAGCTGTCTACAGGCGAAAAGGCGGGGAACTCACTGGAAGGGTCACCAGTCAATCGCAGGACTGGCGATGTGTTTGTAATGATAGTTACAAAAAAATATTTTTATCTAAAGTTTGCTAAAGATTGCTCCACATTAGTTTATCAAGCGCAACAAGCCTAATAGGGAGAGCTCAGGAGAATTTCTAGACATGTTTAAAATTCCGTTTTTTATTTAAGGTCTAGTGGAGGAATCTTCTTTCTGAAAGTAAGCATTTTTAAGCAATGCAAACAGCAACTTTTAAACAGTGTGTGCACGAGGAGAAATGGGCCTATGCATGCTCTCGCTTCCCGTTTAATAGGCGTTCCCTCTCGGGAGCGGGTAAAGAGTTGTGCGTGTGCATTTTTTATTTTTTTTTTATTTAAGGGGAGAGGGTGGGTCTTTTCAAAAATTCGCAAAAAAAAAAAAAAACTCAACTATATGAGGTTAGTTTTTCTTTTGAAAACTAATGGGTTAAAGCCTTTGGGTTAAAAACCATAATCCCTCTGAAATTGCTGAAATGATCCTCCTTACAACTGTAACCTCATCTGTAATTCGGTACATTAAGAGGATCAATCATGCAAATTTTCACCTGTCTGTTTTCTCTCTTTGTTCTCCTCGGTTTGTGTCTGCGGCTCCTCCAGCAGCATCTGAACTCTTGTGGCCACCGTAGAAATTATATCTCTCTTCAACAGCTGTCCACAAAAAAATAAATAAAATTATAGGTTCATTAAAAAGGTAAAAAATTATTTTAAAATGTTGCATTTTATAAGAACAGCATCATCACCTTCTCAGCCAGTTTAGCTTTGGGTTTGTTGCTGTGTAAGAAAGCTCTGCTATGGATCGCGCCTCTGACAGACAAACTGCCTCCACACTGCTGGACCACATCTGGGACCATCTGCCCATCCTGAATAACAGAGAAACTTCAGATCATATGCTATTTAACATAGACACTTCATGTTACTCTAAACAGAAATTCTTAGCAAAGTTGTGTAGGTTTGTGTGTTAGCTATGTTTTCTACAGCTATCACACATAGTTATTAATGTGGAAAACTGTATACAATTTCTAAATCATACCTTTTTATTTTTCTTGGAGCAGCCTAATTTAACAATAAAAATTTTGTAAAGTACACAGCATCTATGTAAAGTGCATTCATTAACTAAGGAAAGAAATAAACCGTTTTTTTTTAGATGGTTAACTTTAACCCCATGCAATTAAAGATCAAGCTGCTGTTTTTGGGGAGACATGCCAGAGATTAAAGCCTCTGTCACAAGCTATCTGGTAAAGAAAACAACAACAAAAACACCTATGAATATAATGATGAAAAATAACAAACACCTAATGTCCACTGTTGAGTATGGCAGAGGAGCTGTGATGCTGTGGGCCATTGCTTACCATCTCACTGGAGCACATGTGGTGATGAGCTCTTTCCAACATGTCGGAATTGTGAATAAAAATCAGATGGAGTCGCATTAAAAAACTAAAAATTGGCTTCATGAATCTTTCAGAGATAAGGGGGAAAGAAGGAGGAACCTCGAACTCTGAATGCTTTGCATGGATTGTGCAAAGGTCTGTTTAATTTGCAAAACAATATGGAGGAAGCTGTAATGTGGTTCTGGCAACAAAAGGAGGTAGTACAAACCATCGGCAGCTTGGGTGTTAATAATAATCTCACCAGTTATATCGTTTAGAAATAATTATTTCTAAAAGTGGGAATTTCTTTATACCAACTGATGAATTCATTATCTAAATGTGCTCGATTTAGGTTGAATGATGCTACAATTTATAGAAAGATAGATAATCTACTGCTACAAATAGTGCACATTTATAATAACTGTATTAGAAATCTCAACCAGCTAGTGTGGGCGGCACTGTGCATCTCTTACCGGTGTGATGAGCAACTGAGCTGTGTAGGTCTGTCTCACATTCTTTTTCTGGAGTGAAACAAAGAAAATAAGAAAAATGCTTCTTTACTGTAGAGACAAGCAAGAGTTCAAATTTAAGTTTCAATCATCTGTGCAACAAACAGACTGCCTTCATTTGACCCAACAGTTAAAAAAAACAAAACACTCAAACAAAACACTATCAATAACAGATTGAATTAACTTACAAAACCACACATTTAGAAATTCTTATTGCAGAATATGGCAACACCGATGGTTTATTTTTTTAAAACACAAACATATTCAATAAAGCCCAGATTTAAACTTTTTCAGTCTCTTGCTTTTCTTTAATTCAACATAAAAGCATCTAAATCATAAAGACTGGAAAAAAAACCCACTTCTGATACTCTGTGTCTTATTACTACACAGATTCAATTTCCCTTTGGAAACAATGTATTTTTGAATTGAATTGAATCAAATCATTGAGTTCTAAAGTGTAAGTAGGCGATTAACAGATTAAAATCAATTATAGCCAACGTCATGGGACTGGATTTATCCATTTATTATTTTGTTGGCTCCTTCTTTTCACTTTATACACACTTCCTGTCCTTTTGAATTGTGGAGGGATTGATAGGCTTTGTGTTTTTTTTTTGGACCCTTTAGCAAGTATAAATTTGATTTTACCAATAGAAAAAGCACAGATTCTAAAGTACAGTTATGTCCTGCATGGCTGCATTCTCTACATTGCAATATCTGCACCATGCTTTGACTGTGACAGAACATCCCATTCTACGACCCTCGTCTAAATGATGGTGAATGAAATGAACTTTATTTTCAACCTGTTGTTATAATCTAATGCTATTAATGATTATGTTTTTTTTTTTTTTGCACTCTCTTTTTTAAAAGCAGGCATTAAATATGGAAATATGTCAAATAAAAAACAAAGATTAAACCATGCTGGAGAGCACCTCAGGTATAAGAGCTTAAAGTTTAATCAAACCGAAAGGCAGAGGTGAACGTGGAGGTTTTAGTTTAGACAATCTGCGTTAAATCCAACTCCAAATAAATAAATCTGTTTCTAATATCACGTGTCTAGGTTTACTAAGTAATTGTGTTTATGTTTAACCACCTGTCCCGTTTTGATCTCCGAATCTTCCGGCAGCTTCTTTCCTTCTATTAGACAAACTCCCCTCTCAATCTGCTGCGCCCAAACTTTCAGCTCCTCCTGAAACAAGAAGCTTAAATCAGTTCCACTCAAACTTTTACATATAATAGTTTTTTTTTTATGTTTAATGTTTTTTTTCCCAACCTTAAGACAGTCATCCACAGGTTTAGTGCAGGTTATGCTGCCTGGGAGTGGTACCAACAGGTCTATATTCAGCCAACAGGACACCGTAGCCCAAGAAGAACACACGCCTGATTGGTACTTCCAATCGGCGGGCTTGGCAACACTCTGATACATACAAAAGAAAAAAATATGATCTGAGCACAACATGCTCTCTCTATTCACCAATAATCATTTAGTGTATGACTTGATTAGTCCACCTGTAAAGCAAAGGTAATTTCTTTTAGGTTATTTGAGTTTGCAAGGATTAATTTATGCAGAACTTGTGTAGATTGGGTGTGACTGACTGTTTGGCTTAAATAAACAGCTTTGTTTAGAGCAGTCAAATTGAGGTTTTTACACCTAAGAGCAAGAACAAAATGTCAAGCATGGTGGTTGCGGCATCATGCTAAAGGTCTGTTTCACTCACAGTGGTGGTGGTGCCTAAATAAATAAATAGGACTAAATTCTGCATCTTAAGACAAAACAACAGCTTGATAGTTGACTCAAATACAAATGGGTGACCAAATAGGGAAAAGTTTTTAAAAACAACACTAGTTTTAACCAGGCTAAGATTTAGTTTCTTGGAACAGCCTCAATCCTAAGAGAAAATGTATGAAATATTTTTTAAACAAAGACCTTTCCTCCATTTCTGACAGTAACAGCGATCCAAATTTTAAGCCAGAATTGTGCAAAGTCCTTGTTAGTAGCTATAAAAACAGTTTTTTCAAACTTGGTTGAGATAAAATTCTCCATTAATTCAAATTAATTCATTCTTGTTTTTTAAAATCATTATAGATAAATCATGCTTTTCCCTAAGACAAAAATAGATAAAATAGACTAGAGCTTCTGCAGTTTAAGAGGGAAGACAAAACAAACCTTTGGGTCTTTGACATCAAAGGTTCTGCAGACAGTTCTGATGGTAGAGATTGAGGAAAACCTCTGCATGGTGTGCGGTAGAAACAACATAGCGTCTCTGGGAAAAAGGATACTTTCTGGTTTTGGGGTTGATGTGGAGCGTGACGCAGTCTGTTACATCATCTCCAGCAGGCATCCAGAGCTGCTCGGAGGAGATCAGGTTCTCCACTGAAAACAGCAACTATGCAAACAAACACAGAGAGACTCCTGATGAGTCTGCAGTTCTATAAGCAACCACAGCAGAAGATACTTGGACATATTTGTTAAGGATTATAGCCATTTTAAAGCAGTGCTAAAGCACTTTCAGTTGAATTTGGCTCCCCCAGTGGACAAAAGCAGTATTGTTTTGCCTGAAAAAGACTGCATTACCAAGAGGACCAGTGCATAGCGTGGTAAAATCCTGATCTAATGGTCGCCTGCAGTTGGATTGAACTACAATCCGTTTCCAGTGGCTGTGTGAAAGATGAATAGCGATGAGATAATAAATCTAACTGTGGTAAAACATCATATGACGATGTTGAAAATAAGAAACGTTTAACTTTGGTTTTGTACCGTATTCCTGCACCACTTAGTTTGAGCCTAGAATGTAAATCCCTTTATTGTCCCACAAAGGGAAAATTCACTCTCTGCATTTAACCAATCCCCTTGGGGAGCAGTGGCCTGCCATTGTGTAGCGCCCAGGAAGCAGTGTGGAAGCCATGAATTATGTATTGACAATGAAATCAGGAGGGGAGATGGTAAAAGCCAGGAATGACATATTAAGCTTTTTATTTATATTCCACAATTGCTCCATTGGTTTCATAAAAACTGCAAAAACATTTTTTTATTTTTTTTATTTGTGGTGAAAAAGAACGAAAGTTTTTTTGTTTTGTTTGTTTTTTTAAAGTTTTGTGCAAAAGCATTTGCTATGTTAGGTAATAAATGCAGATGAAGTGTAAAATAACTACAGACAAGTAGCAATAGCAGATAATTACAGCTTAATAACATTTTAAAATTTCCAGTTTTTAATCACAATTTTTCATGCTTGCACAAAGCCACTGTACCTGTCGGAGGGTGGTTAGAGTGTCCTTGGCATCACTCTCACTGACCATAAAAACTCCCAACACAGACAGGCCTCCAGGCAGCATCCTGGATACCTGGAAAACCACAAACAAATGTTTTATATTTAAAGCATTCAACACTGGCTAACATTTAGACATATTACTCCATGTTGGATGTTGTAATACCACTAAAACTGAATCATATTCTATAAAAAAAAAACTTATTCAGGTGTGATCCAGGAAAAGACGTAAAAATGCAGATACTGAGAATAAATAGTTTACATACCTGTCTTGCATGCTCAGACACCCACTCCTTGTCCACTGACTTTCCAGCATCAGCAGACTCATTTTGGGGTGTCCTTGTTGCCATGACGATAAAATCCCTTTTAACCAAGCTCTAAAACATTCAGTGCTTAATATTACTGGATATCACTGCTCAACATGAATACAGTCATTCAGCTAAGATATTAAACAATTATTTTAGTGATTTTAAATAGCACCTTTTGACTTTGAAGAAGCTTTTTTACTTTTACTGACTAATTTTATTTCATTTTAAACTAATTTAGTTGTTTTGACATGATGTATTCAGTATAAATATCAGTCTATAAAAAAAAAAAACTTTAACCAACCTACGGAGCCTTTACCATGAAAAAAGCCGAAAATACATTGTTTATTTACACTGTAGCATCCATATAATCTGTAAAACTCCCTGCATAATTATAATAAAGCAATTTATATGCATAAATCAAGTGGAACACTATGGTGATAGCCCTACTGCTCCACTTCTGAAAGTAAAATCTGTTAGGCTCTTTTTGGCATCAAGACAATTATTGTTATTGCCACATTGCCAGGCAGGACACTGTTAAAAATTTTTTTTAATAGTTTTTGAAGGTTGTGAATGTATTTTATTTTTAGAATGGATTTTATTTGATGCATTAACAAAAAGAAACATACACTTTTACAAATAGAAGGAAAAGAGTAAATAATTTTTCCAAGGAAAAACGTTGATCCATAGTTAGTTTCCTTAACTCTGATACCTATTAATAACATTTGGGGCTACCAATTCCCTTCAAAAGTCACCTTATTAGTGAAAATAATCCTAAATGTATCCTTTTATCTATCTACACATGCGTTCAGTAAGGGCTGAATGCATCAATGAAATAACAACAGTATCATTAAAGGTATAGTCGAGGATTTCGCGCCTTCTCCACTTAGAACAAAAAAATGCACATGCACAACCCTGTACCCGCTCCAAAAAGGGAACGCCTATTAAACGAGAGCATGCAAGAGCCCATTTCTCTTCATGTACACTCAGTTTAAAAGTTGCTGTTTACATCGCTCATTGAAGCTTACTTTCCAACAGAAGATTTGCAATTTTCCACTATCTCAGACTCACCACCGGTAAGTGAAAATGGGGACGAGTACATAGGACAGCCTTACGTAAACATATCACTAGAATAATTGACATAGGAGGACCACTTATTTTGATGATCCCCCTGGATAAAGAACATCCTCCACTATACCTTTAAAGTGAAGGTCAGGATAAGTTTAAACTATGTTTAAGATTAAAGTAGTTGGGTAATAAATATATATTTCAAACTCTGAAAAAAATCACTGATATATAGGCCACTAATGCTAGCAAAATAAATAGAGAAGCAATAAAATAACACATCCCAACTCTTGATAAGCCTTCAGGGAAAAGTTGGAAGAACTTAACTACCATTAAAAGTAAACCATAGGAAATGTGTTTAGTTTTCCACAATCCACATGGGTACATGTGATCAGATGAGACAAAAACTACTAGAAAAATAATAGAATGTGTGAAGGAAAGCTTACTAAACACATAAATCCCAACTACAGCCCCCCCGAACATAAAACATGGTTGAGATAACATCATGCTGTGAGGACACTTTCTTCCATCATGCACATGCTTGTGGTGACCTGTCTCATAAAAATAGGTTAAATGTATTTGTATGGTCATTACATTTCTGCAGTGCAAGTGCAATAACCCAAGTCAACTACTTTGTAGTCTTCCCTTACCTCTCTACTGTGCAGATATTTTTATATGCAAGGAAGGCATATTCCAGGACATTACAACTTTTTTCTCTTATGCTTTTTTGGTACTATATGCACTCTTTTTATATTGTCTGTTGTATTTTTTTTTTATCTTTAAAGGTATCTTGTTTTAACTCACTGTACTCTATATAAGCTACTGGAAGTAGAATTTCCCTGAAGGACTAATCCTAAGGGATAAATAAAGTTGAGTCTAAATCTAAATTGTGGTTTTCACCCGGCTTAATGCTAAAAGGGGTGAAAATACAGGTGCTGATCATAAAATTAGAATATCATGAAAAAGTAGATTGATTTCAGTAATTCCATTTAAAAAGTGAAACTTGTATATTATATTCATACATTACATACAAACTCATATATTTCAGATGTTTATTTTGTTTAATTTTGATGATTACAAATGACAACAAATGAAAATCTCAAATTCATCATATCAGAAAATTAGAATATTACTGAAGACCAATAAAAACAAAGGATTTATAGAAATGTTGGCCAACTGAAAAGTATGAACATGAAAAGTATGAGCATGTACAGCACTCAGTATTTAGTTGGGCCTCCTTTGGCCTGTATTACTGCAGCAATGCGGCGTGGCATGGAGTCGATCAGTCTGTGGCACTGCTCAGGTGTTATGATAGCCCAGGTTGCTCTAATAGTGGCTTTTAGCTCTTCTGAATTGTTGGGTCTGGTGTATTGCATCTTCTTCTTCACAATACCCCATAGATTTTCTATGGGGTTAAGGTCAGGAGAGTTTGCTGGCCAATTAAGAACAGGGATACCATGGTCCTTCAACCAGGTACTGGTAGCTTTGGCACTGTGTGCAGGTGCCAAGTCCTGTTGGAAAATGAAATCTGCATCTCCAAAAAGTTGGTCAGCTGCAGGAAGCATGAAGTGCTCTAAAACTTCCTGGTATGTGGCTGCGTTGACCCTGGACCTCAGAAAACACAATGGACCAACACCAGCAGATGACATGGCACCCCAAACCATCACTGACTGTGGAAACTTTACACTGGACTTCAAGCAACGTGGATGAAGTGCCTCTCTTCTTTTCCTCCAGACTCTGGGACCTTGATTTCCAAAGGAAATGCAAAATTTACTTTCATCAGAGAACATGACTTTGGACCACTCACCAGCAGTCCAGTCCTGTTTCTCTTTAGCCCAGGCAAGACGCTTCTGACGCTGTCTGTGGTTCAAGAGTGGCTTGACACAAGGAATGCGACAGCAGAAACCCATGTCTTTCATACGTCTGTGTGTGGTGGTTCTTGAAGCACTCACTCCAGCTGCAGTCCACTTTTTGTGAATCTCCCCCACATTTTTGAATGGGTTTTGTTTCACAATCCTCTCCAGGGTGCGGTTATCTCTCTTGCTTGTACACTTTTTTCGACCACATCTTTTCCTTCCCTTCGCCTCTCTATTAATGTGCTTGGACACTGAGCTCTGTGAACAGCCAGCCTCTTTAGCGATGACCTTTTGTGTCTTGCCCTCCTTGTGCAAGGTGTCGATGGTCGTCTTTTGGACAACTGTCAAGTCAGCAGTCTTCCCCATGATTGTGTAGCCTATAGAACTAGACTGAAAGACCATTTAAAGGCTTTTGCAGGTGGTTTGAGTTAATTAGCTGATTAGTGTGGCACCAGGGGCCATCAATTTTGAACCTTTTCACAATATTCTAATTTTCTGATATGATGAATTTGAGATTTTCATTTGTTGTCATTTGTAATCATCAAAATTAAACAAAATAAACATCTGAAATATATGAGTTTGTATGTAATGTATGAATATAATATACAAGTTTCACTTTTTAAATGGAATTACTGAAATCAATCTACTTTTTCATGATATTCTAATTTTATGACCAGCACCTGTAAGTGCAAAGACCCACCTGTCCAATAAGCAGCCCTGTAACTGGACCTGTGAGCTGTGAGCACAGTTTGGACAAATATCCCTCTACATCCTCTTCAACAATATAGCTGCGACCCATACTGCAAAACAAAGACAAATAGGAGTTGTATCAATTCATTAACTTAATGTTACATGTAATGGGTTTGCAGTGGAAAACAGTTCTATGAAAGACAAGCAGAGGACTTGGACCCATAAAATAACAAGACAACGGTTTCACTTGCAGAGAAGTTATTAACAGTAACAAAACTCAAGCTTATTGTCATTAATGTGGTCGAGTGTCTTAGTAGCGATAGCTAGTTGGGGTGTGTGACATTTTTATGATGGCATTTTGACAGGTTACATTTTTAAAAGAACCCGCATGTTGGAGTTTAACAAATTTCACATAAGTGCAGAATTTTCCTCACATGGTTAAACTACGAAACATTTACAAACCTGAAAGCTGTCCTGACAGCTGGCTGTGGTTCGTCAGCAAAGTAAAAAAAATGAGAAAACTACAACTTTAACGCGTTATTTGATGACGTATATCCGTCGCCGACTTATATCGTAACTATAGACTTCTATGTTTTTTCCAAAATAAGACTAGAAGTCACTGAGCCATCAGAAATAAGTGATGTGACTTTGAGCCTAAGCAGTCTTATTTAGAAGCGTTAATAACTTTATTCGACTAAATAAACATTGATCTCAACACATGTACCAATAATTGACAGTAAAAAGAGGGATCCGTTGCACCGGAACGAGTTTTATTTTGAAAGTCTAAAGTGTACATCCTTTCTCCGTTCAGTTTTTGCCCGTTTCAGTTACACAGTTAAGGACCTTCCAGTCCAGCTTTTTTGGTCAGTTTTGGGGGACAGTCCTGAGAGGGGTTGGTGGAGATGGCGGCCGTCTTGCTGCAAGCTTTGGAGCGGACGGAGTTGAATAAACTCCCGAAAGGTGTCCAAAACAAGCTGGAGAAGTTTGTAACTGACCTGCAGAATGCTAACGAGGCGCTAAAGACACAGCATGAGCGGTTCAAGGCAGACAGCGGTGGGTAATATCAGCTCTCCATTATAGTTTCCTCTCTATTATTCTCCTTATTCAACAATAGACGTGGAAAACCTTAGTTTTCGTCGTTCGGTGTACAACTTATTGTTTTGTTTGATTGTTCTTTTGCTAAAAACTACCCTTCTTTTTTTAGCTACTGGAGCATGCTAAAGCTAGCTTCGGCGGTAGAAATTGGACCAAGCAAGCTTACAGGAGAACATTTTGATTAGACAGACTCTAAAATAGTTTATTTGAACGCCGAAATTAAGCAAATGTGTTAAATAACTTTGACAACATTGTTTTCAGATTTGTTATTATATCCATTTATATTCTCTCAATGGACAAAAAATATTTACCCGATCAATAATGGAGTTTTTTGGTTCGTCTTGATTCGTAGATCAGGTCTTGGTTCGTAGATCAGTTTACTCAAAACGACGCGATATTGTCAGGCTGCCACTGATTAATCAATCCAAAACAACCCAGTGAAATAGTACAGATCTGCAAACGTTTGAAAAATGTTATTTAACCAAACTGTTTGTCCTTTAAGTAGACTTTTTAATCTGTCATGTCCTGTCACCTAATATTAATACCAATTCTTCTCAAAAAATAAAAATCAGTTGGTAGTTCTCTTAATTATTTGTTTTCTGTATATCACCAGCTAAATTATATTTATAAAACATAGTTGTATTATAATTCTACTATTTAATCAAACAGAGCACTGCCTTGCAGCAAGAAGGTTCCTGGTTCAATTCCCAGCCCGGGGTCTTTCTGCATCGAGTTCGCATGTTCTCCCTGAGCATGTATGGGTTCTCTCCGAGTACTCCGGCTTCCTCCCACAGTCCAAAAAACCTGACTTTTAGGTTAATTGGCTTCTCTAAACTTCACTAGGTGTGTGTGTGAATGGTTGTTTGTCCTGTTTGTCTCTGTGTTGCCCTGCGATGGTCTGGCAACCTGTCCAGGGTGAACCCCGCCTCTTGCCCATAGACAGCTGGAGATGGGAACCAGCACTCCTTGCGACCCTGCTTGGGAAAAGAGTGATGGAAAATGGATGGATGGACGTTGAAGAAACTTACCTCTGCAGTTAACCCATCCCCTTCGGGGAGCAGTGGGCTGCCATCGTGGGGCGCTCGTAGAGCAATCGGGGGTTAAACCTCTTACTCAGAGTTCCAGAGTGGCAGTCTGTGGGAGTGGGGCTCGAAATAAGAACCTCAGGATTCCAAGCTCTATGCCCTAACCACTAGGCCACCACTCCCCCATAAAATTACATTCCCTGACTGGAAATCGAACCCGGGCCGAATCCTAACCACTTGACCCCCAGGGAGTTATATTACTGTTTTCTTAAATAACAAAACTGTAAGCAACACATAACAAAGAGGAGACAGATCCAACTGCACAAAGAGTGGATCCAGATCTTCAGGGATATCGCTCATTGTGCTATCCTCACAACACGTGACCGTGTGAAGCTAGACAGCCAGCGAACAACATGAAAAAAGTTCTCCTCACAAGGCTTGCTTTTCTTGCATTCTTGAAGAATCTTTATTCAATAATCTGGTTTTGATATCCTTTTTTATTTTGTAACTGAAATACACAGAAGAAAAAACTAATCACTGACTAATATTCAGATCTGAACATCCTCAGCACATTCTACACTTAGCTTAACCTAAACACAAATTTATCTGAGACATTTCTCATACTCTACAAAAAAATTATTTCAACACATATTCAATTGTTTTCTGAGCAAAACAATACTCGCAAAGACGAATATTTTCCGAGGCAGAAGCGTGTAGAACATTTAACTTCAACATGAACCGTTTCTGTAGCTAACTTGCTGAAACGGGATTTTCCAGAGGAAAAAAAAATAAAAAATACGTCAAAGATATTTTTGATAGGTGCTTTTTAATAAAAGGCATGACACTCATGCTTCTTTAAACAGAAGTCCAAGCTTTGTCTAGTTTTGAACTCTAGAAAACTAGATATGCAACCCCTTTATTTGTTTAAAACTAAGTGTGCCAAACAACTCTAAAAATACTCAGTTTCTTTGCTTATTTAAGAGTTTTAATATTCTATTGTTTTTCAGCTTTCTTTCTCAGGTAATATTACCTTCAATTTTTCTCCAATTGCTTACATATCTGCTGAATGTTTTGTCTCCTTAGAGCAACAGTACTTTGATGTTGAGAAGAGACTGACAGAGAGTCAGGAACAGATACTTTCTGCCACAAAAGACCTGCAGGTCCTGAAAGAGGAGAATAAAAAACTAAGTGAGTTATTTTTTTAATCTGTATAACCAGTCATTTAAACTTAAATGTACATTGTAACGTAAAAGTATAACATGTGGACCTGTTTTCTTTCAGATCTTAAGTTCCAATGTTTAAAGATTAATAAATGACAGGTCTAAATGGAAAATAATGTCACAAATCTGACTTATGCTCCCTCTACTTTTACCTAACCTTGAGAAACCTTTTTTTTCTGAATATTTATCTCTGTGCAGATGAAGAGCTGAGCACTCTGAAGGGAACAGAGGATGAGTCTAGTGAAGATAAACAACCAAAGCAGGTAAGGCAACAGTAGTTATGCTTGGCCAGCTGACAGGGACACACAAGCTTACTTCAGATATTTAAAAGTTGGCAAAAAAATCTAGCTTAATTTCTTTGATTGCACTTCATTGTGAACAAATATGATTGTTTTAAACTTATTTTTTTGGCTTTGCTCTAAAGCGAACCTTCATAATTTTAGCTTTGATCACTGATAACAGTAAATGTGATTTATTCTTTATTAATTTAATAGGGGGAAATAATCTTTTCTTTTCTGTGCAGCAAGTAAAGTCTAAATATGAAATTGAGGCGGAGAGGAGAGAACTGGCGAGGTTGCTGGAGAAGAGGACGCAGGAGGTGGAGAACCTTACAGGTAATATAAGCATCACTTTCTCGGTTTAATGTCTTAGGGCTGCTAAACTGAAATCTATGTGGTAATTATGTTGGTCTTCTTTTATGTTTTGAAGACAATTTTCTTATGTCAATATTTTGGTAATAGCTTTTAAAGAACTACCTTATCTTTTTTGATCATTTGTGTATGTAGAGGACTTGAAACGTCTGAATGAGAAGCTTACAGACACCAGTAAAGTAAAGATGGAGCTACAGATGAAGCTGGATGAAATACAGTCATCAGCAGCCTCTGTGCAGGTAGTAGACTGGTTGTTATAAAGTAATTTTATCAAAGTCATTATGCGTCTTTACCTGCCTCATGTTCCACATTAAAACCAATAACTTTGATCACTCTTGTGAAAATGTTATGCTCCCTGTACAGTTTTATGCTGCTTCATTTTGAACAATCATATAAAATCCAACTACCTACATTAAAGATGATTTAAGTGGTGCAACAAGGCATTATGCAAAGCAAAAGGGGCTCTTTTTATTTTTCTTACAAATACAATATTGTAATTGTAGCACAGAGAGAAACGGATGGAGCAGGAGAAAGAGCTGCACGAGAAGAAAATCGAGTGGCTGACGGCAGAGCTGTCGGAAAAAACTGAGGAGTTACTGAGCACCAACAGAGAGAAAGGCAAGGAGATACTGGAGCTGCAGGGCAGTCTGAAGAGCAGCAACGACCAGGTGAAAAACGACTAAACACAGACGGTTTGATAGATATACAGACATACATTTGGCTTCTATGTGTGGGTCGGTTTTTATTAATCAGTGGTCATTAGAGACATGATTCAGCGCTTACGCATTGTGTTGTTTCTCCCCAACAGGTGACCAGGCTTGAAAGTCAGCTTGCCTCGCTGAAAGAACTGAGTGACAGCCAAAGCAGGAGAGCTGACGAGCTCAATAACAAACTCAAACAGGTAAAACTGAGTTTGAGGTTTACAACTAACACTAGATATGGTTTTAAGAATTAAAAAAACAAAACATTTAATATCTGAAAGCAGCAACATTATTGCAAGGTGTAAAAACATAGTCTTCGGTAATGTGAAGATGGCAAAATGTATTTACATAGAGGAGACATATCAATTGTTAACTTAATTTTGTTCTTCTCCCTACTAAATGTTTTCTTTTTTTTTCT